AAGTGAAGGAATTATCTGTCGAACAAAATCTAAATACCTTTTTAACATATTTTCCTTAAAATGAATGCACTTTTTTTTTTTTGTAAATCTCGAAATGGAGTAAGTAAATTAAAAAAAATGGCACTATATAAATGAAATATTGCGAATTGGAAAACAATTTTCTACAGCATAATTATTGATTTAAATAGAGATAATTTTCGATTCTTGATAAATTGAAGTTAAAGTTAATCTCTTAGAAGCAAGACGGAAAGATAAATTGACAAGGAATCAATACTGCCGAAATTATTGTACAATGAATAATGTAGGTAATAAAATATTAAATTAAATAATTATTATTTATATAATGTACGTTCACTGAAGCTGGTTTTAAAACATCTTTTATATATATATATATATATATATATATATATATATATATACTGGCGACATGTTCTTTCTTTTTCAGGACGTAGGCAATCGTGGCTCTCCACCTCTTTCTATCCCTTGCAGCTCTCAAGTTCCTTCTTTTTGCTTTCCTCCCCCAGACCACGTTTTGTTATCCAATTGCTTAAGCCCGCCAGGTATGTCATGAGCTGTTTTCCCTTGTCTTTCTTTCCCTCTATTCGACCTGTGAGTATCAGATTCTCCAGTCCCTCCTTCCTCATTTATGTGCCCCAGAAACTACAGCTGCCTCGTCCTGATGTTAAATATAAGCCTCCTCCTTGTTTTCATCCTATCTAAGACCTCATCGTTGCTCACACGCTCGGTCCATGATGTCCTTAGTATCCTTCCGTAGAACCACATCTCTCCGTCGCCTTGAGTCTCTTTTTCATTTTTGAGGAAATCGTCTAATAATCGCTGCTGTTACAGACGTAACTGCTCAGTATTCTTTTCTTTTCTTTTTTACCAAAGAAATCCACTTGTAATGCCATACTACGCCCAGCTTTGGAATTCGTCCTTGGCCATGACAATACGTCTACGAATCTCAGTGTTGCGCTTACCCTCCTCTGTCAAAACGCTTTCCAGATATTTAAACTTCCGAGACTGCTTGCTTTTAATGTTCCCGACCTGAAAATCGCATTTCGGTTCATCCTTTTGCTGATAACCATGCATTCTGTCTTCTTGTAGTTTATGCTTAGTCCCTTTTTCTCACTATCCGTCGCTACCTTCTGTAGGAGATTTTTTTGTAATTTCTTTTCCTTGTTTTCTATCAGCACCGTGTCATCTGCGTAACTTATCTTAAGATTGTGGCCGCCACTGCTAAATCCCGATATGTTTTTTTGCATGTAGATGTCTGTTACGAATATTCGTGACACACTTGTTGACAACACAAATAAATAGCATCATCTACATGCAAATTAGGCTAAAAATAATTGAAGCCTTATTAATAAAAGCAAAAAAATGAAACCTTAATAATATTAACTGTGAGCATGAACACGATATTTTGACTGTGTTTTGAAAAAAGAAAACATTATATAAATACATACATGAAACAAACTATTTCTTATGCAATAGTTAAATTATTTAAACCATGGTTAAATGTGTATCCCAAAGCGCTCGGAAAAAATAACATTTGGACAGATTTTATATAATTTATCATCTGAAAAAAAAAAAAATATTAAAGTGCATGAGAAATTGTATAAGAAAACTAAATAAAAGCACCTTCTCTGTCGTATTCAATGAAATGTGTACACACACACACATATATATGTGTGTGTGTGTGTATACATATATATATATATATATGTGTGTGTGTGTGTGTGTGTGTGTGTGTGTGTGTGTGTGTGTGTGTGTGTGTGTGTGTGTGTAGAGAGAAAGGGGGAGAGAGAGACGCACAGAAATCAAACAATCGAGGAAATATCTTTTAGATTTATAATTGGAAACTGGAATAATAACAAAGGTTTAAAACAAAGGTTTAAAAGCAATTTAAAAACAAAGGTTTAAAAGCAATTAGAAAGGGCATGGATCCATTTCCTCACCTAATTACGAGGTAAATTCAGGAGATCTACGAACCAAATAGAGGACAACTATGTGTCAAAGAGATGATGACTATGACTCAAATGGAGGATAATTATGTGTCAAATAGATGGTGACTATGACTAAAATAGAGGACGACTATAATTCAAATAGAGTGCAACTCTGTGTCAAATAGAGGATGACTATGAATAGAGGAATAGCCGTGAGTCAAATAGAGCATGATAATGTATCAAATAGAGGACATCTTAAATCATATATGTTAAATAGTGTATATGCATGTATCATATAGGAGACCACAATTAGCCAACTAGAAGATAACTGTGTCAATGTGTCAAATAGAGGCTAACACTGAATTAAATACAGTTCAAGAGACAACAGGAACCCATTCTACTATCTTTTCCCAGGAAGTCAGTGAAATTCCCAGACAATAAAGAACAAAGGCTGCAGGAATAAACACAATTGCCTATGTTCTGAATGTACACGGTATTTAAGAAAAATAACCAAATTGGCAGAGTAACATTGATCGTTACGAAAATCAGATTTG